GACACGTCCCAGTTCGGTTCAATTGGGGCCTGTTCCGTCTACTTGGTATATTAAGGTGAGATGTAAGTAATCCATTCTTATTTGAAAAGGATTATTTACATGGATTCACACTGCAAAAGTTCTGTAATTATGAGTCAACATCTCTTAAATAAGTGTATTTACCTTTAATTTGAATAAATACATAAGATCATCTACCAATGGAATAAGTATCTTACCCTTAAAATAATATAATTAGATAATATGCACTTGAAATTAGAGACCCCATTATTTCTATCTTATTTTAAATGTAAATTGACTCTTTCCATTGGCAAAATGTCTCACTTATCTTCTCAATTCATGGAAAAAAACACAAATTTTAAGAAAAATGGATTTACTTAGATTTCATTTTCTGCAGTGTAATTGAATGAATCCAAGCCTTGTGGTCGAGTCTTTGATCTTTCCTTAAAACAGGCTGGAAAATGGCAAACAGTGTGGATGAAAACAATGAACCAGAAGCACAGTCCTCTCCTGAGTGCAACAAGTGCCAAATTATTATAAATAACTGCTCAAGTCATGAGTTCATTTTTAAAGAAGCAGTATATTCAAATTAGGAAATGGCAGAGAAAGCTATAAACAGACATGACACTGAGAGTAGAGATCCATGAGCTGCTGCTCTATGTGTGCCGCCATCTTACGTAGATGGTGAAGATATTTATACATGTTTCTAAAAGAAGACCTAAGTTAAAGCTGCAGCAAAACCTATTGCTCATATTGAAGAAGTACAGGTAAAAGCCAGTAAATTAGATTATTTTGAAAAACTTGATTTATTTCAGTAATTGCATTCAAAAGGTGTAACTTGTACATTATATTTATTCATTGCACACAGACTGATGCATTCAAATGTTTATTTCATTTAATTTTGATGATTTGAAGTGGCAACAGATGAAAATCCAAAATTCAGTGTGTCACAAAATTAGAATATTACTTAAGGCTAATACAAAAAAGGGATTTTTTTAGAAATGCTGGCCAACTGAAAAGTATGAAAATGAAAACTATGAGCATGTACAATACTCAATACTTGGTTGGAGCTCCTTTTGCCTCAATTACTGCATTAATGCGGCGTGGCATGGAGTCGATGAGTTTCTGGCACTGCTCAGGTGTTATGAGAGCCCAGGTTGCTCTGGTAGTGGCCTTGAACTCTTCTGAGTTTTTGGGTCTGGCATTCTGCATCTGCCTTTTCACAATACCCCACAGATTTTCTATGGGGCTAAGGTCAAGGGAGTTGGCTGGCCAATTTAGAACAGAAATACCATGTGTCATGATGGGATTCAGATTTCTAACCCACATGCAGAACACAATGGAGGCAGATGAAGAGTTTGACTGTTTATTGAAATAAACACAAAGTTATATGAAAGATGCTGAGAAACAGATCCGGGAATGGTCACACAGGGTTCTCTGTAGAGAGGGACAGTTAGGTTAGCCAGGATGCAGTAGATCTTTGCCAGAGGAATTGTGCAGGTTTGTATCTGTGACGTGATTCTGGTTTAGCAGCTGAGGGAGGGAACCAGGTGGGTCCAGAGGCTAGAAATTGGCAGAGGGCTTAGCAACGGCAGGGCTCGACTTCAGACTTATCAGTGTTCAGATCCAGAGTTTTCTACCGATCCTCTTCTTGAGG